AGGGTTGGTTATAGTTTTACCTACCTGGCTATCAAGCAGCCTGCATGGCACCATTTGCATGGAAATATTGATTTAGAATTATTTGCCACACTGAATGGGCGCAAGGAGGAGTGGGAGCCGCTTTACTTGGCGACCTTTGTTCTGTGCATTGCCACATACAGCAGCAGAATCATTGTGACAGGCGGAGAGAGATGTATTCATATCAGCATAATAGCAACTCAGAATACCAGAATTCAAAAGTACAGCTGGCCTACTGATACCCATCATAATTTATGGGAAATATCCCAAAAATGCAGCACCCTGCCAACCCTGGAGATAGACAGTGGTCAAGTTATGAAGGAAAAAAAAAAAAGGTTTAATCTTTGTTTTCAGTCTCAGGAGGGTATGTGGGAGTGGGAGTGAGGGAGTCCAGTATGAATATGGGGAATTAGGAAAAGTCCTTTACCTAGCAACTGCTGCAGAGTGGAATTCACTGTTGAGCTTTATCTGACCTGCTTTCATTGTTTGTTGCGCACTGTTTCTATGACAAAATGTTGAGAACCGGCTATAGAAACGATAAATCGCTGCCGCGCTTTACATCTTGCTTCCCACTCCATCTTGCATATCCCGGTCCAGCCAGAGGGCTGTACCTGATTCCCAAGAGTTTACTCCTAATTGTGTTTACATTTGCGCACCAGTTGTGTCCCCACAATAGACGATTACAATACAGTGTGTCATTGATTAGACATGGGCCTCCTACAAACACACACATGCATTGTTGTTCACACACCTGTGACGCTGACACTGCGGGAAAAGAGGTGGGCTTCGGCTGGTCAAGGCTGTGTCCCAGTCACCCTCCCCTCACCCTCCTCTTTATGCCTTCAGGGGACTCCGGTTTCACAAAGCTCCCCCACTCTAAAACCACAAGAACATCATGGCTCTCGTGAGCTTATGAACCCCCTAAAAAACGTGCCACTTGCCCGCCTGCTCTCCTCCACAGCTGCCTTCACGCACCCCTTACTCACGCCTCATCCTCAAGCTGCGAGCACGGGGGAGGTTATGGTTTGAGGCTCATGATGGGATGCAAGTAGCTAAAAGAAACCTTTGATTTTGTCCTCTTTTCCATCTTGAAATGATAAGACATCCAAAAAGGGGCCACATGTGCACTATCTGACCATGGTGCAGCTCTTGAATATGTATTGTTCTTTGTACTGCAGCGCTTAAAGTTAGTGCAGGGTGTAAACTGAGAACTAAAGTGGATTTGGGGTGTGCGGTTGAGGTCTGTGGAGGCGGGGGTGGCGGGTAGATTAGATTGAGGTAACGTCTGTTCCTGGAGGGGGTGGAAATGCTGGGAGCTCTGCCAAGCACAGGTGTAGAGCAACTACAGCAGCAGTGACAGAGGCGGTGGGGGGCAAACAGCAGGGGCATTGTTTCCACCTACACACATACAGGGAAACAAGTGTGGCTCAGGCCAGCATATGTGAAAACAGGACATTGGCTCGTCTGTTTGTCTTATAAGCTGCACAGCCCAGAACTTCCATCTCCTCCAAATAGTGCCCTCCCCCACCCACCTCAGCCTCAGCACCTGATCCCTTTGGTTTTCTCTATATTCAGGAGCTGGCTTGAGAAATAGTTCCATGTAACGGGTCACATTTATGGCTACTTTCGATTTAATTCAATTGTATTCATAAAGCATCAAATGGAACCGAATCACCTCAAGGTGCTTTATTGTGTAAGGCAAAGAGCGTACA